CACTATTTAAAAGATAGCAAGACATATTATGGTAGCCATTTTGGATTTTCTATTAGCTTATTTTGAAGTCCTTTATTGCATTCATTGTTTTGTTTTTGTTTCTGCTCTATTCTGTTCTGTTTGATTTTTACTGTGTGTGAAAGTGTCTGCAGCTATCTTGAAGCATTATGGTAACTGTTGCTGATCCTGTAAGGTATTAAAGTCCTGTATCACTTATACTAGTTTATCTTGATTGGTTTTATTCTGCTTTATTTTCCTTGGTTTTATCCTCTTTAAAATAAAATAAAAAAGGAATTGGCCATGCTGGGACTGAGCGAAGCCATCAAGAAATCAACTAGACAGCCGTTCTGGTAAGCTGCACAAGCTGTATGGGTTACAGGGAGAGAAAAGTCACCTAGTGCCTCCCATGAGCCCACTGGCTTGCAGGCTGAGACTCAAATTCCATGTTCCCCACGCCAACCCCATAAGCAACCGGATGGTCCAAAGGACAGCCTGAGTTGATAGCAAGTAAGGTACATGCTTCTGTTGTTTGGTTGATTATGCAGGCCTGGGGCCAGTGGTATGAGCATCTCTTGGAAGGAAAGCAGTGTGCAATATAGCAAACATGGGGGATTTCCTTCTATCTTGTCTTTGAAGTCCAACATTGTTCTCACTGCTTTGCTTTGTTCTAATTAATTGTTTTGCTTTATGCAATATTCTGTTTTGATTGCTTTTTATTCTGTTTTATGTTTGCTTTGATTTTGCTATACCTGATGTAATAGACAACTATTTGTAAAGACAACAAGATCTGCTACAGTAGCTATTGTTGTCCTAGTGTCCTGCTTTGAAGTTCTGTACCAATTTTGCTGCCTTGTGTTGACTGGCTTTGTTCTGTTTTGTTTTGTTGGATTTTACTATCTTTAAAATAAAAAATTTAAAATAAAATTTTAAAAATGCAAAAAATAAATAAATAAATGCTACAATAGAGAGAAGGATTATTCTCAAAAAGTTTCACACTTTGGGTGGAGAGAATGATCGAAGGATACACGCAAGTTATAAAATGGTCCTTAAAAGGGTTTTCTTAAAAGGATAAGTAGTGTTAGGTTCCAAGGAAAAGCCTGAAAGGAATATATGCAATATAATCAGGCTGTATCTCCTTCATTCTATGAGTGAACAGAAATTTAAAGGTCATGCATTCTCCTTTCCATTTGACTAATTTATTAATGCTACCACATAAAGTGATTTTTAACAGCAGAAATACATAAAAATTCTGGAGGCTAGAAGTCCAAGACCAGTAGCACCAACTGCTTCTGAGGCCTCTTTCCTTGGGCTTGTGTGTAGCTATATTCTCACTGTGTACTCACCTATCCCCTTTCTGTACCTGTCTACATTCTGATTTCTTCTTGTCACACCAGTGATGTTCGATTGGAACCCAAGCTAATGACCTCATTTTATAAAGTAGTTACTTCTTTAAAGGTGCTATCTCTAAATACAGTCTCATCCCAAGGCACTGGGAACTAAGACTTCAAGATACCCACTTAAGCCCACAATAGCATCTTCTGGCATGGCAGGGGAAAGATAATTCCCAAGAAGGCAAATACCATCTAAATTGTTCAGTTATCTGCTATAGGATTAACCTAACACAAAAGATGACATTTCAGTCACACTTGCCTAAATCAGATGTCTCATCAGTATCCAACTTTACTAATAATTTCAAGGATATTAGCAATTGTTGTGGTTTGTAGCTATTTGTCCCCAAAGAGTCTGGTAGACTCATCAGCAGGGCTTTGGGAAGGTGACTAGGTCATGGGGATTCTACAGTTCACTGGCTGTTAGTTGGAGCTGTGTCACTGGGAGCGAGACCTGAAAGGGTGTATCCCCCTCCTTGCTCCTTTCTGTGCTCTCTACCTCTTGGCCATCATGTCGTGAGCTGCTTTCCTCTGGGGGCCCTTTCCCAGGCCTTTCCGCCTGGACCTGCTGGACTGAAACTCTGCACACTGAGGGCCAAAATGAACCTCTACTCCTTTTCATTGTGAGAGTAAGGTATCCTGTGTCAGTGACACAAACTGACCAAGACTGCAATCAAAATGCATTAAAGAGGACAAGGGACAGGTCTGGCATCTTCCTTGGGGTGTCTCAGGTTCTTCATCCTAGTACTGGAGATGTGATCAAGGAACTAATAAAGTTTCTAATAAGTTATATGTCATCTCTTTCACATAGCAGGAAATGTTTAGGATACAAAAATCTCTATTTTATACTCTTTTTGATACCTGGTTTACAGGATATTTTCTAAAGAGCCATGCTGAATAAATCCATGTTTTATTTTAAAGAGAATAAAACCAAGCAAAATAAAACAAAATAAAGTCAATCAAAACAAAACAGTGTAAGTGATACAGGACTTCAAAACAAAATAATAGGAAATCAACAATGGCTACCATAATGCCTCTTTTTGTCTTCAAAATTGCTGCCCATACCATCAGACATTGGAGAATCAAACAAAACAGAGTAGAATTGAACCAGTAAGAACAAAACAATGAGCACAATACAGGACTTCAAAACAAGATAATAGTAAATCCAAAATGATTACCACAATCTATCTTGTTATCTTTGAAACAGTTGCCCATGCCACCAGATATAATAAAGTCAAACAAGACAAAACAGAATCAAACCAAACCAAACCAAACCGAGCAATGCAAATGATACATGACTTTAAAACAAGGTAATAGGGAATTAGCAATGGCTACCACCTTCAGTAGGAGATCCCCCATAGATACTACATTGGCCTACAAAGTCAATGCAACACTAAACACTAGAAGCATTAAGTTGTATTTTGCCTCAGTAGCTATCGTCTCAGCCTGTGTTTCCCTGGATCAGTGGGGAGTAGGGGGTACACCTTGGCTCTTCTTATCTCCCAGACCATGCACCGGGAGGGGCCAGTGTCTGGTTCTCCCTGTCACAGCCCCCATGGTGCCGACTCACAGGGAGTGACTGGCTTCTTGTTCTACTCCCCAGGGCCCAAAAATGGCACCAACTAACAGGAAGGGGCTGACTTCAAATCCATATACCCTAAATGTAGTCACCATAAGCAATTTTAACCAAAGAAGAAAAATAAGGATTCTCTGGCTACTACACATCGTCAGTTTGTTTACCAGAGATTTCACCTACCAGCATGTTCAGGAGCTGAAACCAGGTCACCCTTCTCCTAAAACATCCCCCAGTAACCAGAAGCCAAATGGATCTGGGCAGACACCTGTAACTTCCTGCTCTCTGGGGAAGGGGTGCAAAGGAGACTCACTCCTTTATTTCCCTATACGACCTTCAGTTTATCTTACATTGCTTCTTTCATGTGAAAAATTAAAAATTGTAAGAAACATTTTATGGCAAATTAGTTATCTTTATCTGAAAATACATCCAACCAGGAATGTATCTTGTTAAATGCAGGTCTCTAAAGAATGTTGTTACGCATATATGTACAGAAATATCACTTCAGCCAAATCTGAGGTTCGCCCCCACAGAACAATCTACCTTACAGGAGACACATGCTGAGTTTTACACCCAACATCTAATCTGCTGACTTTTTCCCATTCCTGGTCATCCACTTGATAGACTCAGTGGCATGTTCCCCCACCACCTCACCCCAGAGACTTGCTTCACTAGACTCCAGCCCCTTCCCCCAGATTAATTAATTACAATAGAAGTGGACACTCAGTCCTACTTGATGCAGACTCTCCATCCCTGAGAGGGGGATGATTAAGGAAAACATGTCTGCCTTGGTTCCTCTCAGATCCTCCAGCTTTCCTTGTTATATGGCTGTCTTTCACTAAATGCCTCCTTTTCCCCAGCCTGTCATAAACCACAAACTAATCTGACCTAAGCCAGTACCACATGATCACTAAAGCTTGCTGAGTTTTCAGACTTTAATTTTAAGTGGCATGTGTGCAATGTCTCCTAATAACCTACCAGACATACATGAACACTGGAACTTCTGGGGCACAGTGGCTATTACCACACATTATTATTAATGGTAAAATATTAGTAATACATTATGATTAGTAGTGGTATCCATACTTTACAATTTCAAGTAATTCCATTACTCCTCTAAAGTTGGCAGATTTTTCCAAATTTTCCATAATTAGCACCTGTGATTTCTACAATGAGAATGAAAACTTGCTTTTAAAATGAATTCTTCATCCACTATATTTTATCACTCTGTGTGACAGGCCTGTGTCACCCTGGAATTTAGTTTGATCTGCTTTTTTGTAAAATGCCTATAGCTGCTTTTACTTACATAGGAGTGGCTTTTACCTTGGATCCTCAATGAAGCAAAAGTGGGGGGGGAGTTGGGGTGTTTTACAAACATTCAAGTGTGGGAGTTTGAATAAAACTTGAAAACTCGTCTCATGTCAACAACTGCTGCAGGACAAGTCACTCACAGAATTTACTGACTTAAAATCATCACCTATTTTCTCACATTCATAAGATCAATCCTGTGGCTGGAGTAAGGCGGTTTAAACCTCCTCCAGCTGGGGCCGGCTAGGCTCAGTCAAGCGCTTGTGATGGGGTGGCTGGTGGCTGGGGCTGGCTTCCTCTGGAAGACCTCACTGCTGTGTGTGGCAGTTTGTAATACTTTCAACCTGGTCCCTCAATTCTCTTCTACTGAGCTGGTCACTGACTGGGCTTTTTTGATGGTAAATTGATTCCAAGACAATTGAAATGGGAACTGCAGAAATTATTGAAGTCTAGCCTGAGGTATCACACAATGTCACTTCTGTCACTTTCTATTGATCAAAGAAAGTCACAAGACTAGCCCAGATTCACAGTGTGGAGAGGACCAACTCCACCTCTGGCTGCAAAGTGGAAAGTCCTGTTACAAAGGGAGTGAGGAACTGCAACAGGCACCTTGCAAACAATCCATCCTAACTTACTGGTTACATCAGCAAAAGTTTCAGGAGCCCCCTAAGTGCTAAACACTGCCCTAGTCACTGAGAAACAGCAGTGAACAAGAGAGACACATTCCTTACCTTTCGGGGACGAAAGCCAGCAGGGAAGACAGACATTGAACTGTGAGAACTTGTAGTATGTGCTACAAAGGAGTAGTGAGCTGGATGGGAAAATAGTGTGGGCTGACCTAGCTAGAAAGGGGCGGTACGCAGTCCGCCAGTTCCCAAAAAACACGGGGGATGGTAATAAAGGATTTATGGGATTAGAGAATGGCACTCAGGAACACGATGTTGTTCCTGTCTGTATCTATCATCTTTCCATTTCCTGAATCTCTGTACAGTAGGTGGTTCCTAACTACTTATATGACTGTGTGGCACATTTATTTATTCCTCTCGTGCCACATAATTATGTGGTTACAAAGGAAACATGGAAAAAATGGGGAAGGCAGGGAATATTCCTTCCAAAGAAAATCTAGAACAGTGCTGGGGGAAAAGAAGGTTTAACTTTTCTAAAAAGAGTAATACTTTTTACCATCAAAAACCTTTTCTTAATTTGTGGAATTGATTATTAATTAAGAAATCTGAGTTTTGCAAGTGCACAATTCTCTCTTTGATCCATAGGCCTCCCGGCTGCGAGTTCCCAGATGCCTGAAGCTAGTTTTAACTAAACTGTTTCCCTAGCAAACGCATTTTCTATGGCACAAAATGAAACCACAGCTGCGTTGCATTTTGTTAGAAGATCCAAATCGATAAGCTGTGATGCCAGAGTTTGAAAACCTGGTGTGCTGGAGCTGGTTGACTTATTAATCTATATTACAGCACACTGAGAAGAAGATTTAGGTTTTTTGATGACTGTTCAAAGGGTATCCAAGATGAAGAATCCTGTGGGAAAAGAGATGGAACAGAAGAGCATGTCAGAGAGTTGTCACGCAGCCTCGGAAAAGCTCTCCGCCGATGTGTTATTCTCTTCCCAGCAGGGTTGTTGGAAATGTGCTTCTTGTGTTAAGTTCAAAGAGTCCTGCGAGGGGTTCGTAAGGTAGATGCTCCTTGGGGTGTGGGTATGTTGTCAAAGGAAATAGGAAATAGCAGCAGGCTCTCTCCACAAGAAGAGTGGGTAGAGTTCAGAGTGCTGTGAAGGTTGTTCACAAGTCCTGAACCAATGCATCAACCGATAGTTTTAAAACCCTATTATGTACTACGCACTCTGTGAGTTTCCAGAAACATAATATTGAATAAGGCACTGTCCCTGCCCTTACAGAGATTACAGTCTGCTGAGTAAGACATGCTGTAGCCAGGCAATTCTGCCACGCTGCAAGAATCATGATAGGGAAATAAAGAAAACTGTGGAAATAGAGTAACAAAGCAGCTAACTTGAGCTCGCCGACTTCCTGCGGGAAGTAGCAGCTAAGCCGAGCACTAAAGGGAGCACAGCCGTTAGCCAAGAGAGGTGGAGGACTTCCGGCTACTAATGACAAGAATCCACTGAACTGAGAGCAAGATAGCCTTTCAAAAATAAAAGCCATTAATTCAAAAACCTCTAACAGCCAAAGAATGTGAAAGGAGACACAAGAAATTTGGGAATCTGAAAAACAGACACAAGAACAGAAAATGCCACAGCTAAACTGATTCAACCAGCAGATGGCAAATTGAAAAGCAATACTATTTATGCACTGAACTCCTCTAGGTTCTGGAACTCACAACCCTTGGTAGCTTGGGAAGCAGGAGTAAGGATGTCTTTTTTTTGAAAAAACAAATGCACTGACTGAAACTCTAAAGGCGATACTCAACACGGTACCTGCCCATCATTTGCCCTGACAAGGCCCTAATGGTTTTTCCTCTGAGGAGGGTAAAACAGGTCCCTGGAATGAAGGTACAAGGTAGAGCCCAAGGCAAAGCTATCTTATTAAAACAGGTCTCATACTGTCTATTGAGAGCCCAGGTCTCCAGAACCACTTAGCATCTGGGAAACAGACTTAATACTCTCCCTGAGTAGGAGTTACTTTTCTGTCGAACCTCAATAACTGAAAAGAAAAAATAACAATGGTTCACCACCGGGCATTACCTAACCCAAGGGCATAACAGGGTTGCCACACAGCAAAGACCACAATCAATAAGTATTTCCCACATTCCCCAGGCACATAAAGGTTCCAGGTAAGCTCTTTTGGTTTTTGGTTTTTGGGGAATTTTGTGTGTGTCTCTGTGTGCGTGTGTGTGTGTGTGTGTGTGTGTGTGTGTGTGTGTGTGCCTCCTCTTAAATGTAAATCGTCCAGAATTATTGGCCACTGTAGATCTAAATTGGAAAACAGACATTTCTTCCAAGGCAAAAATTTATTCAAAAACCAAATTGGAAGAAAGAGAGGATGTAGGCAGAGAAAGAGAATTTCTCTATCAGATGTTTAAAATATCACCACAATAAGAAACAAATTATCAGAAACTATATTTTTTATTTATTGAAGCTACAAACTTCAACTCCTTTCTTCCTCACGCACTCCCGTTACCAGCTGTCAGCAAACCTGACTTTGCTTTTAAAATCCACACCAGAATTTAATGATTCCTTATTCATCACCTCTTCCAGGTCCAGGTAACATCCATTTTCCACCCAAGTAACTGGAACAAACTCTCTTGGTTCTCTTTGCTCCTGTCTTTGTCCCATTATGTAGAAGTTGGCATGATCCTTATAAAATAAAAATTCGATCATCTCACTTCCTCAAGCAAAACGCCTATCAGCTTGTTTCACTCAGAGTAGAAGCCAGATTGCTTTCAGGGGTTTAAACCCCCACTTAATCTGGCCCTACTCACATGACAACATCCCCAATGCTTGACTGCCACCCTCCTGCTCCCTCACTCAGCCCAGCTGCGGCCCTGCAAACCTTCCTGCTGCTCCCCCAGTACACCATGCATGTGGCCTGAGGGTCCTGGCTTTATCTGTTCCTCTTGCCTGGAAACTTTCTCCCCCAGATAACCTTGGATAACGCTTGTCACCATTTTTCACTGGTACATTTAAGATACAGAACGGAGTCCAGGGGGATATGGCAGAGAGAGTGCAAGGTACAGAGATACACGGTGGCCTTATAAAGAAAGAAGCTAAGCACACAGCATCTACAGTCCTATCTCTTGAGATGTATCCATGAACTGCGAAGGCACTACTCTGCAGGGAAAGAGTAAGCAGTAGGCCTCTGGATGTTCCAATTCACACCACAGAGACCGAGGCATTAACTACACGGGGACCCTGCAGCCCTCACAGGCTCTGCATCCACTCAGTGGAGTTGCCAACTACCACAGTGCTGGAGCTGCCAACTACCATCCTGCTGCACTGTCCTGGAAAAAAGCCCAGCCTAAATAGTGACATCTCCACCAAGGCTCTTGATGCATGGAGCCATTTTGAAGTCCCTCCCACCTAGGGTCCTGAGAAGCAGCTTTCGAATACCTCTACCAACCCAGTCCTAGGAACAGGCCAGGAGAGCCTGGAGAAGCATTTGGAGGAAACTTGCCCAGAGTAAACTGGGCACAGAAATTGAAAAATTGTATGGTGGCCCAATCTACCCTACCACCACCCCAAATGCAACCAAGAGACCCTAACCAAACTCACTACTTCATATGCAGCTGGGTAGCCACAGCCTCATACTCTCCAGCCCCAGAAAGAGGTCACACAACCAACAGTGAGTGATGTGGCCCCTGATACTCCAAGAAAGAACTCAGGTAGCTCCACTTGCCTGCCCTCTCAGCCATAGCATAGCTGGCAGCTTTCCCTGAGCTGTTTGACCCACAGGAGCCCAAGATTACAGAAATCAATAAATAAAATACAGCACATCAACATAATTAAAGATAACGATCAAATGGTCCTTTAGTTAGATGAAGAAAAAGTATTTGATAAAAGTCAATAGCTCAGGGGTACAGCACTTGCCAAGAAGTGTAAGGTCCTCAGTTTGATTCCTAGTACCCACAAAAAAAAGTCAACATTTCTTCATGACAAAAATTTCAAAAATCTGGCATAGAAGTAACATAGCTCAATACCAGAAGAGCTGTGCATGACAAATAATCATCCCACATCATGCTTAAAAGGGAAACATTCGAAGAACAACCAATGAAATTCGTGACCACCAAACAAACCCTACAAAGAATACTGAAAGATAGTCTATAAAAGATAAAAGTGACTACAATTCCAAGAACAACAAAAGAAAGAAATCACAAAGCAGGGCAAGCAATCAAACAGAGGAGAAAGTAGGGACCCAATACAAGGAAAATACCATGACAAAGATAAGCCAACGCATATCAGTCATAACCATTAATGTAAATAGCCTCAATTCACCAGTAAAAAGAAACAGGAAGACTGGATCAGGAAACAAAATCCATCAATATACTATATCCAAGAAACACATTTAACATAAAGGATATTCGTGGACTGAAAGTCAAAGGAGTGAAAACAATGTTCCATGTGACAGGAGACCAGGTAAAAGCACAGGCACATTGCCCATCAACTACAGAATGGATAAAAAAGATACAGTATTTTTCCACAGGCTGAGGTTTTGTCCCAGTGAGGCCTAGAGTACTGGTGAGCCCAACAGGCAGGAGAGGAAGCCACACCCCAAGGCTATCAGGGGAGCATCGGTGAACCACTACCTCGCACTTTTCCACACTCCACAACCCCAGATCAAAGGGACACAGGTGTTAGCCCAATCTCCTGTGAAGAGGGACTGGCAGCCAGTGCAGAAAACACTCAGGAGGCAGCAAAAGGTAGTTCAGAGAAACACAAAAAAATGGCAAGATGGAGGAGAAAAATACAATCTCAGACCCAGCCTACCCAGAACAAGCTCAGGAGGCACAGACATAGTAAGAATTAGAGGTCACATATCTCAAAATTCAACTTAGTTCTTACACTACTTGGTTAACTTTACTTGCCTATGTCTGATGGTCTGGGCAGCTATTTTCAAGATAACAAGCTGCATTATGGCAGCCATTGTTAATTTTCTATTATCTTCTTTTGACATCCCGTGTCATTTTCCTTGTTTTGTTCTGTTTACTTTTATTCTGTTTGCTTTGGTTTTATTATGGATGATGATCTGGACAGTTATCTTGATGATGTATTAGGTAGCCATTGTTGATTTTCTATTACCTTGTTCTGAAGTCACATATCACTTTCATCATTTTGTTTCATTTGGCTTTATCCCATTTTGCTTGGTTTGGTTTTAATCAATTAAAGTAAAATAGGGAGATTGACAATATTTCCTCTAAGAGTAGGAACATGAAAAAGGATGTCTAATTTCACCACTTTTATTCAATATATTATTGCAAGTCAGCCAGACCAACAAGACAAGAGAATAAAAAACTAAATGTATGTCAC